AGCCGTTTGATATTTTCTTCAGTTCTCTAAGCTTTTACATTTAAACCAATTTTTATAACATAACTTTTTATATTTTATCTTTTCTTGCACATTATTATTTCACCACCAACTATTTTTATTTGTAAATATATTTCCCTTTGATTCTCCAAGAACATCTTTTGCTACATGTTTAATAGCGTTTGTTACTTTATCCCACATCACATTTGCTTCTTCATGAATATTCCAAATTTTGAAATCTTGAATTTTACTCATAAAATTAATTTTATTTGTATCTTTTAAGTTTCTCCATCTAATTTTGCAATGATGAGTCCTAGTATTTTTTATTTTACAACTCTTAATTTTAAAATCTAAAACTTCAAAAACGTCTTCTTTGTTATCTATTTGACAGTTGACCATTGATACACCTTAAAATGTACTATTTTTTATATATTTTATGCTTATTTTTAATGATATTGCGCTTTAATGGAGGATATTTTGCATGTTTTTTGTTTCAGATACAAGAGATGAAATTTTGTAGAAAAAAGAGCGAAAACAGAGCAAAATAGAGCAAGAAGCTTATTTCTCAACTATCGACTAGGCGCAATCTTCTTGCGCCTAGGCGCTAGAATTCGGAGACTCCGCCACTATGGCACCAAGATCTGGCGCCTCGGCTTCGGTCAGTTTTTCTGGGCTTCAAGAAGGGTGGCCCCTAGGCGCCATAATCGATTTTCTTCAATATGCATTAAATTTGGACGAATTTTGAAGAGACATCTGAAGTGACTCTTGAGGATTTCGTGAGTTACGATAAAAGTAATCAAGAGAAGCCAAAAAAGGAGTTCTTTTGAGGAGTTTTGCGTGTGAGTCTTGGTAGAATTGTTGTGTGGGTGTGTGTCTCTTGGAGTGAGATTATAAGGAGAGTCGAGAAATCATCAGAGGAACTTCAGAGGATTTGCTTGGGGAGAAGTTCAAGATAAGTACTTTGTATTTTGTTTAAGTTTTGTTTATTGTGTGAACCTGAATTTTAATATAAATCTTGTTTTGTTGTGTTATCCCCAAGAGATGTGAGTATCTTTCTTTATCTTTCTCATTGTAATAAGAATTAATCTTGTGTAAGATTAGAAGTGTTTAAGATTTCTCTTTTTCCATACTTGTGATGATTCATTACTTCGTACTTAATTTACATATTCAATCTGACAAATTGGTATGCTAAAACTTGTTGTGAAGCCATCATGACCCGGGAGAGCTATGTATTTCTCAACTAGTAAGAATCATATTAATCTGGTGAGTGATAAGGTAGCTCATTGGTTAGTGCAAATAGATAGAGAGATAAGATTTGATGGGTGTAAATTGATGATTCTAGGGTAACGGGCTAGACGCTTAACCAAATTGATCTAGAGTTTGAAACTTAAGGACCAGTTAGTCCTAAAGAGAGGACACAGTGGGTAATCTAGAAGTGAGAGGCTAGAACCTACCCAACATAATCTTAGATTTAGGAAACTCTAGATTAGCCAAAGTTCTTTATGCACTCGGAAGAGAGTAAAAAATATGTTTGCTCCTATTTGTCACAAAACTTCATTCAAACCTTTAAACATTTGAAAGACTTTTACATAATTTGAACTCTTATTCGTTGAAATAAGATTTGTAGGAATTAGTTACTTCTTTTTACACAAACTTGTGACCTTATTTCCTAGATAATTGTCAGGAGTTTAAGTTTTACTAAGTTTATAAAAGAGTTTTCATCTTCCATGTGGGATCGATACTAGGGGCATAAAAAGAAAGTCTTATATTACTTGAAACGATATGTGCACTTGCAAAGTATCCCTAGTGTGTAAAATTAAATTGTGGAAACAAAATGAGAATTATTTGACATATAATACTCAATTAAGAATTAAACATTGCACTACTGTTGCTGTATCAAATTTTTGGTGTTGTCTTTTGAAATTGAAATTGAAGTAATTACATACTAAGAACACACACATTGTGTTGGAGATCAAGCATTCATTTCATAAAATTAACTTGTTGAAAGTTAATATGGAATAAACAAAAACGGTGATGAAAAAGATTGGTTATAGAAAAACTTGATTTTTAAACACACAAAGATACAAATTGAAGCATAAAGAGAAAAAATGGAAAGCAAAAGTAGTTTTCTACCCTTGCGTTAATGATAACTCCATTCTGTTTCTAAAATTTCCTTCAGGTGACGCCAACATAGAAGAATTTAAAAATCAAAACAAGTAAACAGTGCAAAATATGAGAACATCTACATAAAGCATCTCTTCAACGTAAAACCTAAAGAAGCAAAAATCATAACGCTAATGCCAACTAAAGGAGACTACAAATTCATCATCAGAACTTGTTTGTTGAAGCTGAACCAACCCCATAAATCAACTCAGCTTTAAACTTCCCTAATACAAGTACAAATCAAAAACACCAAGATCGGTAATAGGTCCCTAAATTTGTTACTTGAATTTACATTGCGCTAGTATTTAACAGTAGAAAACCCTGCATTTCTATTTTGACTATTCCCGCCTCAAAAGGATTTTACCCGTATCTCTGACTGTATATTTAATAAATTTGATCCAGTTTAGGTAATATTTAGGTTAAAGATAATATATTTATCTAAATGTCAAGCATGAAAAGTCATTGATATCAAAGTTAGGCTTGACAAATATGAGAATATTAAAATGGATTTATGAAAAACTAAGAAGGATCAATTAAATAATGATTATACTAGAGAAATACTATGAGTAATACATACTAAAGATACAGTAATTGAAAATAGACATAAATAGTTTGAATATCTACAAAAAATTGTATAAAAAAATCTTATAAGGCAAGTAGCTAAAATTAGTGTCAAAGGATTAAAAAGGAGAATGGGTGGCCCTAATAATGTATGGATAGAAGTTATCCGATATAACTTGCAAAGAATAAGTACTCTAAAGCCAGCCACAAATAGTTGGGATAAAGCTAATGATGGTGATAGTTTAGGCACTATTTCTACAACTAATACAAGAAAAAGATTCAATTAAATAATCCCTGATGAGTAATGTTGTTATCCATCTTACAATAGAATCCTAAGTCTATGTGCTTTTCACTAATAATGCGACTTGGGCAAGCACCAACAGATCAGTGATTTTGTTATAGAACTCTTACAAGCATTCACTCAATATTCTCGGACAATAAGAATGACCATTGAAATTCAAAAGTTAATAAAAAGAAGCTTGATATTACTCGAGCTACTTACAAAATAAGGATGTGTGGTGCTCTTATCGCCATCCTCTACTATCCATGATAACCACTGAATAACCTGCCAAATATCAAATTTGTGAAGCTCTGAAAGATCAACCAAGAAAAGCAAAAGATGAATACTAATATAAATAATACATCAAGCCAGCCAACACTTTGATAAAAGAATATAATTTCCAGGAGAGGTTTTCCTTTTCTTTATACAATGAAAGGTATGGTGACCATGATGATTGATCGAAATAATGAATGGCTTCATCGACTAGATTAAAACTACCAATCAACTTGAAAGGTTTCATCATAAATTATATCATTATTTTCGACATGAGCAAAGATAACTGGCAATGGATTTGATTATTAATGCATGAAAAAATATTTAACATTAGACATATCAAGAAAGAAGGAAACAAAACACATTACAACATATTCCTATCTAAGACGAGTAGATTATCAAAAGCCAGAAACATGTACCTCTTGAGTGTCAATAGAGCCATTATATATGGCTACAATTTGAGATGCAAGATTGGAATCCTCCCCATCAAATGCACTCCAAATATTGTTAGGCTTTCTCTTAGCCCTTGCTTCATCCTCCGATGAATTTCTTTTGTAACGGACAACAAAGAGCCGTGGCCTATTGTTAGAATCATACTCACTAGGTCCACATGTTTCATAGATGTTCTCAAGTTTATGCAGATAAAACAAGCAAAAAACCTGCAACAACAGTTGTAATAAATTGTGCTCAAGGTAAAAAGATTACAAAAAGGTGGTGCCATGCTTCTATGGCAAATCCATACATGAGAGCATGAACTGATGAAAAATCTCAAGCATCCCAACCTCAACATGTTTCTAGCAAGCAAGAAATGAAGCGGTTTCTGTTTTGGGTAAACTATACATCAACCTTTACAAAGTTACTATGCTCATCTGTAACAGAAAGAGCAAGATGCATGTAAGCGGGATATTTTAAAGGGGCATTTACGTGCATTTTATTGTTTAAAAAGGCATTTGAAGTGTATGCCTCTAGGCACTCCTTAAATTGAGGCGCACTAAAAAAGCCTCGAGGCTTAAGCCTCACTATCACCAGTGAGGCTTATATGTTTTTTGTTTGAGGCATACACCTCAAAACTTTATGCCTCGAGGTATTTGGGGCAGCACCTCAATCAAGTTATATATAAAAAAATCTATTATATTAGTAATATATATTATATTAAATTTTCTTTTATTATATTTAGTATGTTTGATATGATACCTAAAAAATGTCAAAAGATAATTTAAGTGTTGCTTGATTATGTTATTAATTTATTATTTTATTTTTAATTATATTGGATTTCAAATTAATTGATAGTAAGAATAAAATTACAGTGAATGAAGAACATTTTAAAGTTGTCAATGACAAAAAATTATAAGAAAATAAATATGATGATTCTTTTGAGGTTGAAGAAAGTAAGGACGATGATGTTGTGGATTTTGAAGCTCACAGAATATTTAAAATTTAAGTGAATATTTACCTTAAGATTAAGATTTTTAGTTTGTTTTTATTATAATAAACTAGATCAAAGTATTAATAATTTATGTCATATTTATTAATTGCAATTAATTTTATGAGTTTATTTTAGGTTTACGCCATGCCTTGTTAATGTAAAATGTCTCGGTTTCCAATTTCACCATCTTAAACTTTGATAAATACCACCCGATTGCTATGTAGTTACATATCTAAAACCTAAGCTTTGCTTTTTTACATTCATACCACCCAAATCTTTCATATCACAAAAAAAAAATCACCATTTTAACTTTTAAAAGGTGAAATACACTTGTCATGCATAGGTAAGGTGGTATGAATGTAAAACTTAAAGTTTAGGTGTTAGATATGTAAATACATCAGAATTGAGTGGTATTTATGTAAATCTTCCTACTTTAAAATGGGTTAATCTCTGTTTGTTGTGTGGTCTTTGATGAAGTTGGATTATAGAATATATAAGAAGGTTAAGTGTAACAGTATTTTGTTTAGCAGCATTAGCATTTCTGCATAGTTCATGTTTCTTGCAGCTGCATATAACACTATGGATATAAACACTACTAAGAAAATTAGCTGGGAAATTGATGTAATTCCTACACAGGAGAAGTTATCGACCACGATTTGAGTATAGCCCACATCTAAATCACACCCAATTTGAAAACATAACTAGTTCAGCACTTCACCAATTACTAAAAAGGATAACAGAGAAGCAAATCTGTTAGATCCATTGAGAAAATTTACAAACCTTCTGAGCTCCCCCATCTAGCCATGCAAATGTAAGTCGTTTCTCTTTCACTGCAGTAGCAGCTGCAGGAGCTTTAACCGAAGCCTTGTCTCCATTGGCACCAAAATCATCTCTTAATATTCTCTGGATCCCACGCATGGTCTGTAATAATCTTAAATTCAAATTACAAGAAGTTGGGATAGAGATGCCACTGTTTCACAAATAAATAGTGATTTTCCTCTATAAGCAATGAAACTTACTTCCCTCATTTTGTTTAGTGCAAGACCAGGTCGACCAGCAACAATTGCACAATACCAAGTTTCAGCAAAATTTCCAGCACGAGAAAAACCTCTAGCATCACAGCCTAACTCCATAGAATTTGCACTTCTTAATTGTGGCAGCTCTGGATAACAAAAGGAAAATAGCAACAAGTAATTTATAGATTCTGAAAAATTGCACTAAATTGTATACATTCTGACCCTAATGGCTAAGATGATAGAAGGCATAATTTCTCCAAACAATATAAAACCAGGCTTTCTAACTGAAAAGGTGAACGAATTAAAAGCGTCAAAAGAGTGTAGGGTAAAATGAACCAAACTAATAAGAAAATGCCCATAATGTCCAAAGGCATAATTTGCATAGATTTGACTCTATCAAAATGAAAACAAAAAAGATATCGTTCGGATTGTTTCAACTGGATAGTCATTAATTTAGGAGCCGTTTGGGGTCACATTTAATTTTTGTTTTTTTTAGTTTTATTTTGTTTTTTTTATTTGAAATATATTGAATATGCTATAACATATTTAGTTTCTTTTAAAAAACACTCAGAACAATATCTAAAAACTTGTTTGAGATCATTTTTTTTGTTTTTTGTTTTGTTTTTAAAAATATGTTTGTTTAATTTATTTTTAATATAATTTTATTTTTTGTTTCTAAAAATAAATAAATATGCTTTTGAAAACACTCAAAATAACTTTTAGGTGATTTGAGTTTTTTCAAAAACAACCATATCCCAATCAAACATGTCAAACATGTTTTATTTCAAATAAAAAAATAAATAAAAGAAAATAAAACAAAAAAAAGAGATCTCAAACAGCTTGAAAAATTTGGACTGTTTTTAAAAACAAATAAATTTATTTTTTAAAAGATAAAAAAAACATGTAACAATTGTATTAAACAAACAAGTTTTTAAAATAAAAGCAAAAAATAAATGTGATCCTAAAGAAGCCCTTAAATCCAGCTTATAAAAGGCTTTTAAAGGTATGTATGTAGGATATGAATAACACTTGAAATATTTAGGCTAGACAAGTTTGTCCAAAGCCGAAGGGCCATAAAATTGTTGTAGAGAAACTTTTTTTCTTTCCTATTACTTACCGTTTTTATTTACTTCTGCCTATTATATATATGTTATTTTGCTTGCTTCGAAGTTAGTTCCTTATTATTTTTGATTTCTAATTTTCGCCTCTGACGTTTCCCCCTTCCGAGGGTTATATTTGATGGCGAGAAGATGCTCCAGCTATAACTCATCCGAGGTGGTGATTATTTATACTCGTTCCATCCCTTCCTGTTGCAGCCAGCCCCTCCAGGGCCTGTCTTTTGATTTGTTTTCAAACCTTATCTTCGCAAATTTGTTTTCATTTTTTAACTTATTTTGACAATATTTCATGACAACGAGTTTACCATCATGAAATTTGAACTCAACAATGTTGTAGCCATATTCTAAAGCAGCATGAACAATATCCTCAAATCATTGTCGGTCAACTTTTTTTGCAAATTTAATTTTAATTTAATATAAAAGGTTAATAATTTTTTTTTGAAAGTACTGTGTTTTAATTTTGAAAAATGAGACCAAACAGATCTCATTCGTCTAATAGTTTACATAATCGTGTCCGATACTGCGAATACTACACTTTCCCGAAAGATAAATAAATCCCCAGTGATAAACCCAATCTTGCAAACTATTAGATTTGTGACATCCATTTAGTCTGTGAACCCTTTATGTGTGACCGACAAGTCCCCCTACCTAATATAAAGATTAAGTAGGGTTTATTTTACCTGGGTTCTAAGTTCCCTATAGAGGTTAACCCCTATAGTTAATTACATCTCAAATTACCGAGGTCACTCGAGAAAACTCTCGATAATAATCAGAGGTATTGGTCTTCAAGAATTCAAGGTTTAGGCACGGGGACGCGAAAAATTAAGTGGGAAAGGAACAAATGGGAGCAGTTCTTTTATGAGTCAAAAGAAAGAAGATGATAGGAGATGTCACACATCCTGAGAAGAACCCTCAGTAACTTCTCAAGCTATCATACTGTGTGACTGCATTTTGGAAATGATATTCTTTAAGTGTTCAATCCTGTCAATTTTATTATTTGAGACTCATACTTGCATAATACCCGTTTATACAAATAATCTAGAACAATAAGAGGGTTTACGTCATATCAAACGACAACCTCGAAACCTAAGACGAGTTCGTAAGTAATTGCATAGAAGCCTAAAAAAGGTGTGAGAATTTACGTCACGTTGGAAGCCTAAAATGAGCGAGACAGAGGAGTAGAACGGCGAGCAGGTCAGCTCAAAAGGGTGCTTAAATCCTCATAAGATTACAATGAAGAGAAATCCAAAAACTATAAGCAAAAGGCCCCCCCAAACAGTGCTAAATTAGCCTCCAAACAACAAAAAAAAATGAGCCCCTAACAACCATTTAAAAGTCCCCAAGCAGTAATTTTAAAAGGCCCCAAACAACACTTCTAAAGCCACCAAACAACACTTTTAAAGGCTCCAAACAATAATTTTAAAAGCCACAAAACCACTTTTGAAGCCACCAAACAACACTTTTAAAGCCCCCAAACAACCCTATTTAAAGGCTCCAGCAATTTTAAAAGCCACCAAACAACAATTTTAAAGCCCCTAAACAACAATTTTAAAGCCCCCAAACAACAACTTTAAAGCCTCCCAAGATAGTATACGTGCAATCCAAAATAATCATGTTTTAAACCTTTCAAAAGCGACATTAATTCAGGCTCAAGCTTCTCATGCATACCGCTTGATCCTCATGTATTTACATACAAGCATCTACACTTGTTGAAATCCATACAAGAAAGCACAAGCTACCATAAAATTTGGTATATAATGCAAACTTCAAGTGTACACAACGAATGGGCATAAATGTGAATGAATATAAAGTTTAGGAATTAGACATGAATATTAATTCGCTACCAAGATTGCAAAGCTTCGAATCAACACTATATAAGATTTTAGATTTCCAAAATAAACAAGAACCTTCATATACGTGTGGAAGTGTCATATATATACTAAACGCGATGGGTCTTATTCGCTCTGCTAGGGTTTCCGCTCATGGCGAACACTAGCTTAAAACAAACATCAACATCTGTTTACACTCGCTCGTTTTGATCATTTCCGTCTTCGTCTTCGACTCTGGCTGGCGGAGGAGTTCGTGTCGTTGAGCCCGCTCGCCTGCTGCGTCGTCGTGTCGTCGAGTCTTTCGTCTGCTCTCGTCTATCGCATCGTCTGCGGCTTGCGTTTGCGGCGCTTCGCGCTGTAGGTTCGTTAAGGCCGCTCGACTGCTCCGCCACAGTTTCTGCTCGACTGCTCGCGTATCGGTTGCGCCATTTGCTATCATTTGCTGCAGTGCTTGTTTGAAGCAAGCTAATGGCCTCAGAGTTTTCCTATGCTGTCGTTATCGCCGGTGATAATCCCGCCAAACCCTCCTATGCTACAGTGGTTCACAAACGCAGCTCTTCTTTCCACCTCGCAGATAGTCTGGTATTCCCGCAGATGTACCACGATTCTGTTGCAGGAAATGACGATTGCAATCTTATAAAAAAAGTAGAGAAAAAGCGCAGGCAAAACAACAATATTCTTCTCTGACGCTGAAATTTCAACTTGTGCAGGAAAATACAAATTTGCACTAGTTGGAGCACTAGTTGGAAAGTGCACTAGTTGGAAAGTTCCAATTAGGTTGCTCTAAGATAGAGATCATCAGGAAGGTTTTTGAAAATTTCAAATTGGTTGGGGATTGCAGGTGGGTCATTTCGACGGAAGACATGTTAGATACAGCTGAGCATAGAAGAAGATTACACAAAGATTTTCTCAAAGAAATTCATCACAATCGAGGGCAAACATATGAAATTGCTCAAATGGACCCCTAAGTTTGATCCCAATCAAGAACCCACAGTTGCACCTACTGGTTCTTATTACCTGAACTCAAACTTCAATTCTTTGACCTACCTATCTTAGATGCTATTGGGACTATCCTTGGAAAACTTTTATAGGTAGACTTACCTATAACTCATTTCTCAAGACCCTCTATCACAAGGATTTTGACTGAAAGAAATATTACATTACCAGATGTAGAAGAAGTCTGGCTTGGATCTGCTCACAATGATTATTGACAAAAAATCATTATGGAACAAAAACCTTACTACTGCAAGCACTGCAAGATGTTTAAACACCCGCAGGAGAAATGTTTCAGATTGCACCCACAGTTGAGAACCAATAATCAAAAGCAGGAACACACTATTAGTGCACCCCATGTGCCTGAACGCGCTCCCAACAAACCTGATGACAGCCAACCTGAGGAGGGAATCACCACAAGACAGGAGTTGGTATGTGCCCCTGGGATCCCTTCTTCTGACCATACTACAATGGATAATGTTCGAACCGAAAACAGGATAGTTCCGCAGCTCATATTCAGGAAGCATCAGATGCGGAGGTAACAATTCACACTTCACATACACTAGAACCTATCGCGGTGACAACAACTGTCTTTTCTTCTACTGCGGTTCTAACATCAATTCAGACCGAGGATCACACGAGCCAGTTTTCAGTTGAAGAATGGTAGGTTTCACTTCTCGGCGGAAGAAGAAGGTTGGGGGCACACTCCAACTTGGAAACTTAATGAATGATACTTTAGTTAATCCTCACAATGAGACGACTCTTCAAAGTTTATTATCTGGCTCTGCTCCTAAAACTAGAGGAAGAGGCAGGACTAAACTGGTTCTTCCCTAGCTAGTTTTCTGCAAATTTTAAATTTGTTTTAATTTTTATTAAGTCTATTTGTATCTTTTTGTTGGGGTATTACTGTACTTGTATCGTATGGGTAGGGTTCCTCTTTTGAGCTATCTCATACAACTTTTATGTATACTTTCTATTTCAATAAAATCAGCCCTTGGCCTTTAAGAAACAAAGTCGCTGTTGGAGACATAAGTCTAAATCCAGACAAAATTTACATCTCCATTTGGCTTCTACCTTCCATTGTCAATGAGCTTAGTACCTAGCCTTAAAAATCGAACATAACAAACTCAAATATGACCATCAATGATAGCCCACCTCACTCAATATGCCATGAAAAAAGTCGCAATAAAAGAGCTCCCTTTATGTTAATAGGATAACAAAACTTATCAAATATCAACCCATCCAACTTGATGATTTCAAGTGACCCAGATCCAAAAAAGAAATTCTCCATTAATCAATGGAATAACGTGAAGTTAAAGAAATGATCCTAATTCAAAAAACATTCATCAATCCAGCAAAAACTTTTTTAATGATGCAAGTCCCAAGATCTTGAAATCTAAGAAAAAAAACTTTTAGACCTACGAACTTCAACAAAATAAGTTGAAAAAGCATGTCTTTCACAGCTCAAAAGTCCTTAAGGTTGGAATCAACAAGCTTAATAATGATCATGTCACTAACAACGCTTCTTACTAAAAAAGTCATAAAAATGATTATAGTGAGAGAGATTTCATTTCGCTTGTTTGATACTTGTCAAGCTACAAACATATTCAACCTGATAAATTTGAGCAAACCATAACACAGATTTTTTTTAATTATTCAAGAGCACTAAAGAAAGTTAAAGAAATGATTCTTGCTCAATAAGACATTAAGAGTGGCAAATTTTGCATTTTATATCTCACATTCATGACAGGAAGCAAATAATATTTGTGTTATTTATGTCTGTTCAACATTTCAGACACATCAGCACAAACCATTTCACAAACAGATGACATCTAAGTAGTTTCATGCAGTTAGAGCTGACTCATGCAACGTCACATAACTCGTACTTAGCCTGTCATTTTCATCATGCAGCCATTTGGTGATGTAAGGGGACATCTCAAGGAAATTTTGGAGACAATAAAAGCAATTCAACCAAATTCATGATATTATGTATTTGTAGTATATTGTTTACATCATGTTCGATCAGATCGATCGTTGGAGATCCCATTTTTGATGATTTTTATTGCTATTGAATTGGTCTGTTCTACAAATGGGTGAACTTTCAAATGATTTCAAATAGATTTTTTTACTATTCTCATCATGTGAAGCAATAGACAATGTTGACACGTTCATGGACGATGTCCACATTTCAAACTCATTGACAGGGTATGTTTTACAAACGAGTGATGTTCAAATAATTTTAGTTGCGGTTGAAGTGGTCCAAACTGAATCCATCCATAAGCATCACATCTGTCACCCGTCTTCCACATCATGTTTGATAGTATAGAGTTGCAGGACTTGCATCAAGGTTAATGGTGAAGTAACATCTAAATTTGGAATGTGTGACGGTAAAAACAGCTTCAATGATTATAACTGAACTACAGGGACATCAGTAGTTAGCATTACAAAAGTGATGCATAACCAAAGAATGGCTTATAATACGACAGAAGTAATAACTTATCCACACTCAAGCACATAAAGTGTGAAAAAAGAAGATGCAGAAAATAATCAATGAGAACATAAAAAATGCAGGAACAAAAACACCTAAACCAGCCAGTCAAACATTCACAGGAGCAACTAAAGTACATTTCATACTTTATAACTTATAATCTTTTTTAGGTAATCAATAGTTCCTCAATTTTAATCATTTAGTAGTCCCAACGCAAAAAAAGCACTGCTTTTTTTCATCAAAATCAAGTGAAGCAAATAAACTTCAGAAAATAAGTAGAGCATTATGAATTGTGACTTTGTAAGAACATACCTTGATTTTTGTTTTTCTCCATTAGTTCAAAAAACAGGGAACTATTCAGACTCCCTGCAAGACAAAAAAGCACAATTAATCTGTCGAATAAACAGAAGTCCATTATAACGCTAATAAACATGATCAGAATTAAAGCTTATATCATGCCATGATGAACAACAGGAGTGACACTTGGATCCTTTACAAACACAATAGCAGGAGCTGAATCCACTTGAAACCTGAAGAAGAATATAGTTGAATTATAAAAAGAGCATCAAATTAGAATTACAATCATCAACAGTAGCCTTATCAAAACTCAATAGAGACATCATACTACAACTCAATTGCAACTATGTTTTGATTGCCTCTGGAAACCGATGAGGTGCAAAATACATCTGCAACATGTCACAATTAAAGTTTAATTTAAACAGATCAAAGATGATTATACTTAGCTATTAGGTATTTTACAGTACACACTGATCAATATTATGTTCATTTTTAACAATATTAGTGACGCAGATTGTCATAGTATCTAATTGTAGATCACAAAATATAGAATTGGGGTTCAACGTTTCAAAGAAAATAAATTAAAACAAGGGACTGATTAGCATGACCAATTTAATGAAATTAAAAAAAAAAAAAAAAAAAAACCAATGAAGACTTCTCTCTAGCGTCCTTAAAATAGTGATGTAGCGAACCTTTAATATAATAGACACAACAAACAAAAGGCACCCTTAGAAAATTTAGCAATTCTTTTAGACACATAAACATGCATTATTTGCTAAAAATTCAATGAAAGTTGCAGAACAATATCAAGTGATGGAACATGAAGCGCACTCTTGATATTATCTCAAAAAACTAGGCATTTAGGATCCTTTGTGACGCCAAAACACAATGACAAATCCCCCAATTCCATTTATCAGTCAAAATTTTAATCACTTGATTTGAATAACTAAACTTGTTAAATAGACAATCTCAATAAAATAAAAGTAAATATTTCTCTTTTAAAGGATTTCATTTCCATCCAAGTCATAGAAAGTTATTATTATCTTGTGTATAAGCAAAATCAAATGTGTGAGGATGTCAAACAAGCAGTGAATTAAAAATTTGAAAAATAATCAAGCTCATTCAATGTGAATTTGAAGTTTAATCCATCCCTTCGTTAATATGTTCGAGTTACAATGATATTTTGCCACACAATTGAGTATATATTGATCAAACCTAATACTTCAATAACAAATTAATGCAGAACAACTAAGGATATAGGGTTCCTAATATTCATAAATGATGCACAAAATGCAGAACAACTAAGGATAAAGGATTCACAGTTTCAAAAACCACCACCTAAAACACAAAGTCATCTACATTAGAAGTAAACTCAAAAACACGATAAATGTGAACCAAACAATAACTCAATAATCATTGAAATAAAGAAAACAGCAAGAAATACAACAATCAAAATCAATGAGATGATAGAAAGTTTTTGCCGCAATTGATGGCAGTGGTGAAAAAATTGATTAAAATTAAGAAAATTCACAAAAAATATACTCAGAAGAAAAAAATTAAAGAATTAATTTGCCTAATAGAAGAAAATCAAGACCTCATACAAAGAGATAGCTTCCATTGAAATTTGCAACTTGAACTTGCATTTCTATCATAAGAATCCAGATTTCAATAGGAACACGCAAGATTAAGAAGAGAAGTATATTATTGTTTGAGACGAGTTAGTTTCTATGCCTCAAATAGTTAGGTTTATAATATTGTAGTCCTAGGTTGGTGGTCTCCGGAATTCCACCAGTTCAGTGGAGGCAAAATCAATCTATCAGCTAAAATACAGGAGATAATGTAACAACAAATTATGCCCACCAAATAAACATGGGTGGTGGAGCAGTTTGCTCAAAGAGTATGCAATATTCAACAGATCCTGTGATTAGGAAAGCAGACAGATCCCAAATAGATTAATAGTACTAAATCACAATATTAAAACAAAAGCATAAAGCATAAAGCGAAGGTTATTTAAACTGAAGAAAATTATAGAGAATTGCATCAACTCGACTAAACCAAACTATGAAATCACAACAGTAGAGGATTTATCTCATTCTAATAGGTCACATCATTGCAGATATTTTTATCACCCAATTAAAACTGAAAATTAAATGAATTATCAATTAATGAATACCATAAAATTAAAAAATAAAATAAAAAATTAATTAATTTATGCCCAATTTTTCTACCTGCATGTCCCCAATAAACAGCTAAACTTAAGGCTTTAACAAACATGAAGCAAAGAGGAGCAGATGCTGAAATGTGTTATTGCAAATGGTCAAGGATAAGTAAAACAGTTTATTAATGGTAAAATATAATAGCACATGATTTTGTCGCACATACATGCTCCACCAAATAGAAGACTCTTCTTGTTGCCACAAAGCAGCCGCAAATGATGCATATGATGAGTAGTCTTTCACAGCTTGGCGGAGGAATGGAAAAGCACGTTCTCCAGTTTTTGAAAAGAAAATTACTTTCACCTGTTGTTGCAATTAAACAAGTAACAGACAGATCAGTGATTAGAAGAGATTAGGTTATAAATTTCTCAAAAGATCATTCATATCATTAACAACCATAGTCAAGAAATGCTTTTGCAGTTCTAGCATCCAATCATTAGGATTCTATAAAAGTGGATAGAGAAATAACTGACATAAGAAAAGACGATGATAATGTTTACCTGAAAATAAACAATTCTTTGTAGAAAGTTTAAATGACTGTTCTATAATAATTAGGCAATTCCAAAATTATATAAATAATAAGTTGAATTTCTGCTCCAATCATAGCAAAAAATAGAAGGCACATCGATCAAGGCTTTATACCGTTGCACTTGTTTACTTATGATTCTTATATAGTAACGAACCTAAGGCACATAAATCGAGGCTTTGTACTGTTAGATCCGTCTCTATGACCATCATATTGTAATTCGTGTGCTTTACTATAGTATTGCTAAATCCTAATTTTTTTCCTTCCTTTTTTTTTATTTATTGCCATCTCATAATGCCTCTATGAGTTGTATATATACCTCCTTGTACAATAAGCTGAACAAGAATCTTAAGAGTTTTTCCTATTCCTGCTTGTCATATTATCCTTTGATTCATTATGTCTACATTCTTTGACTTCCCTTTAAAGAGATCAACCAATGAGTAATAGCGATAATCAGACTAAAGGGGAACTCCATATATTTAAAGCAGCTTATCACTTTGAACGGCAAATATTATTTTAAATGGTCCCAATTTGTGAAAACGTTCCTAAAGAGAAAGGGAACCTTGTGGATCAACCTCTAAAGCCCAAAGACCCAAAGTTTTAACTTTGGGAAGAGACTAATTCAAAGATCATGACACGATTGTGAAGCACCATACTACTAGAGATTGATGTAACTTTTATATTTCTCCCCACCTAAAAAGAGGTTTCAGATGCAATTAAACAAGCCTAATAGCGTGAAAGATGTTGTGCACTATGCAATCAAGGAAAAACTCATCACTACTAAACAAGATAAACTTCAAGTCAATTGAATACTTTAACAACAGGAAAGTTTATCGGTTAGAGTCAGACAACTAACAAGATCTCAAGTTGTCCTACTTTGAGGACTGGCGATCCTTATAAAATTTGTTGAGTGAGAGAGGATCTTTGAGTTTTTGGCAGAACTCAATAATGAATTTGCAAATCCAAGTCTGAAGCCGAAAAAATTTCCCTTACCTGAATGAAGTATTCTCTCTCATTCAAACAAAAGGGAGGAGAATGATGATCAATAGTCCATCCTAAGAGATATCTGCCAAGTCAATTACTGAATCCCAAGGTAAGGGATTTTCTATCACGGAACCTTCTCTAAAAGGACAACATCCTTCTTTCAAAGAGAATCTCAATGTTCCCTTTCCTAAAAGAAATGCTAGATATTCTAGTCCTTTTGTATTAAATCATTCTGATAATAGGGAACCCTCCAAAATCCCCAAATCTCTACAAGCACTAATTTTTGTTACATTTATTGATGAGTGTCAGGTTTGAGAATAGAGTAGGATAACTTTATTAATAAAAAGTGAGATATAAATACATATTACAAGATCCAAATAAAAGGAAAGACATAAATTCAACAATAGACCAACTAGAAAATACAAAAATATGAAAACGAAAAAATAAAAGAAGCAAATAAAAGCTAATAATAACTGCAACAATAATTAGCATAATAATTAAGTGAAAAATTCTAACACTCCCCCTCAAGTTGAAGCATAAATGTCCATCATGTTTAACTTGGATTAAAAGTTGTAAAAAATTGGCCGATGAAGATTCTTGGATAGGATATCTGCTAATTGACTATTAGATGAGACAAATAGAATACAAATCTCCCTTGAATCAAGCTTGTTTTCGATAAAATGTCTGTCAATGTCCATATGCTTGGTCTGATCATGCTGAACTGAGAAATACTGATGAAGGATTTATTATCACTAAACAACTAAAGAGAAGCATAGACTAACATAGACAATTTTCGAAGCATGATGCATAACCAGAAAACTTCATAGATACCCAAGGACATGGAGCCAAATTCGGCTTCAACAATGCTTCAGCCATAACCAACTATTTTTTGCTTTTCCATGCGACAAGGTTTCCCCACACAAATGAGCAATATCCTAAGGTGAATCGCTAGTTATGGATAGACCTAACCCAATCTACATCTGTATAAATAATAATAGAACAAGAGGTGTGGCTCGAGAAAAATAAAACCTTAGCACGATGTGCCTTTTAAGTAATAAGGATTCCGTGAACAGCTTGGAGACGGTGCTCATAAGAATCATGCATGAAATGACTTACAATATCAACTGCATGAAAAATGTAGGAGCGAGTATGGGTGAGGTAAATGAGTTTCCCCACTAACCATTGGTAGTGAGTTTTGTTCACCGAAACCACATCGGAAACATCGACCAACTTCTCATTGGGATCCATTGGGACCACCACTGATTTACAAAGGAGAAGGTTAACTGTCAATAAATCAAGTACATATTTGTACTGAGACAGACAAATGCCTTCCATGCCTAGGAAGTACCAGAGTGACCCCAAATTCTTCATTTCACATGAAGTAACAAGAATACATTTTAGTTACTCCAATGCCGATAGATCATCATTTGTGAGCACAATATTGTCGACATAGATGAAAAGGATAGCAATTCTGTTACTGGAGAAATACCGAAAGAAAAGAGTATGATCTGATTGAGCTTGAGAAAAACCAAGACCCATTACAATCTTTATGAACTTACCGAACCAGACCCTTAGACATCGACACTTACATAAAGTTTATTTGTAGTAGGATTAATACACTGATAGTCTTTTGAGTGGCAGAATATTCAAGAAAGACACATTTTATGTACTTGGGATCAAACTTACTACGATTAGGGGCAATGTTCCGAACAAAGGCCACGCACCGAAAAATTTTGGGTTCAAAGGTGGTGAAGAACCAATTGGTAGGGAAACATGACATCAAGGTAGCTAATGGAGTTTTAAAGTTGTGAATTTTTGTAGAGAATCTATTGATGAGATAGGTGGCAATAAGCACGACATTATTCCAAAAATTTTTCGGGACATTTGATGAAAATATAATAAAGCGAGCTACTTTGAGAATGTGTCAATTTTTCTCTTGGCTAGTCCATTTTGTTGAGGTGTATTCACACATGACTATACTGGAGGATGTCCTTACTTACCAAGAACTCACATAAAATAAAAAATTCACAATAATTGTCGGTTCAAAAAACTTAAACTGAAGTTTTGAATTAAGTTAAAATAAAGAATTGAAAGTTTTTTAAGATGAAAAAAACTTTAGATTTATCTTTTAAGATATAGACCCATGTAATTTGAGTGTGATCATCAATTAAAATAAGGAACCACAATTTATTAGTGTAGCTGCGAGTGCGAGAGGGCCACCTTAAGTCACTGTAAATAAGAGGAAATGAAGCGGAAGGCGCATAAAGATGAGATGGATAAAGAATGTAATGATGTTTAGCTAATTAACAAAAATCACATTTGAAGTTAGCAAGATTTTTATTAGTAAACATCGATGGATACAATTGTTTTAAATAATAAAAATTGAGATGACTCAAATAATAATGCAATAACATAATAGGGCTTTCAGTGGATCGAAAAAAACAACTACGGGAAGAAGTGTCCTTGTTCTTCTTGCCTTCTCTTGAAAAAAGCAGAGCCAATCTACTCTTTTAGCAATTCCAATCATCATCCCGAATGACGATCCTGAAAGACGCAAACATCAAGACAAAAATTTGAAATGCAATCCATCTCATGTGCCAGTTTACTAACAGATAGCATGTTACATCTCAACAGAGGGACTTGCAACACAGATTTCAGAGTTAGATCGGCTGTTATTACAACTGATCCTTTACCAACAATAGAGTTATAGGATCCATAAAAAAATTTTAACTGTTTCTTTCCTAGAGCATAAATAATATGTTAAGAAAGCTTGAGAGCATCTAGCCATGTAGTCCTTAACACCTGAATCAATGATCAATTGATTAAAAAAAGATGTGAGTGTCATAAGAGTGATATCTTGACGAACGTGGGAGGTTGACGGGCCAGAAGTGAACTGATTGAATCCAAGCAGTTCGATTAATTGTTTCATTTAACTCATAAGAGAGTCAGGTGATTCCATAGTGTTCCAAGTAGAAGTTGGTTGAACCGCAGTAGATTCAGAAGTCGTAGTGAAACCGTTAGAAGAGGAGGATTTGGCCGAAGGTTAGTATGTCAATTTTCCATGAAGTTTCCAACAATTTTCTCAAGTATGGTTAGGTTTGTGACAGTAATCACAAGCAAACCTAGTAGCTCGAGGAGGGTTTGAGGAGTGTTGAAAACTGTTAGTGGCCAAAGCAGATGATTGGACTGGGTGCAAGTGCCGAGCACGACAATTCTCTGGCTCTCTTTTCGTTGAATTTCTGTAAAGACAACACACAAGGGGATCCCGACGAAGGATACAACCCCAGACTTTATCAAGGACTTTGTTAAAGCCTGCTAGAAATTGGAACATGCGATATTTTTCTATAATTTTCTGAAAAAGGGAAAGATCTACAGGGGATTCCCACGTAGAGTCATAATAGAGATTTCATTTCATCCATAACTAAATCAATGTAGTACTAGGTCACTGTATTGATCCCTGTTTCGCCTCGTGGATCTTCTTGGAAACCTCAAAAAGTTGGTTGGAGTTACCTATATCTGAGTAGGTGTCTTGAACTGCAGCTCATGGGACCCTGACAAAAGGAAGAAATACATACAAATAACTAATCACAGTCTCCATGGAGTTAATCAGCCACAACATGATCATGAAATTCTCTACTTCCCATGCTTCATACGACGCCTTAGTTTTAGGAGGTTCATGTCGAATTTCTCGCGTCCCTTGATGAACAAAAACATAACCTAAGCCTATTGAGTTTATAGGTGGTGAATAGGAAGTTCATGTGATTTTCCAATCTTCTGGTCTGCGAAGGAATTGAGATTGCTGCTAACCATCCGTCAGACTCAAGTACACTATCAAGATATAGCTCTGTGGTGGAAGAATCCGTCATGGTTCCAACTGAGCAAAATGTGATGTTTGGTTGCCGAGGCATAGGAAAATTCTGAAGACTGAATAGGAGAATCACTAACATAGCACATGAAATTTTTAAATTTACATATCTAACAATCAATTCTTTGTATTTACATTTCCAGCACCCAAATTTCGATAAACACCACAAATCTAGCCTTTTATTAACTTGGTCATCTTCTCCTTATGCTTATGTCTACCATGTTCTCATGTGTGCTCCTCCCCATCATTCTCTCTGCTCTCATCTAATCCCAACCCGTTAATAGCTGTCGTATTTGTTGTCCTCTCCATGCATTCTCCTTGCAGTTGCTGGTGGTGTTGGAATTCTTGCCAGAGATCAAGCGAGCTGGCTTCTGCATCTAAGGGCTCGAAGACCAACTGTCCCGCCTCCAAATTGAATCGATGGCATGAAAATGAAGACCGTAGCAAAGCAATACAAATTACATATGCACTAGAATGTGGAGTATTACAGATTAATGGCCCATTTCTCAACCGGAAAAAAACACATCCTTCGAGCTTCCACAAATCCCAAGCACAGCTTCTCTCAAATACTTGTCAGCCAACTACACCTTCTTCACATTCTCCTCCTTCAGCATGTTCCCATGCTTGAGCAGCTTCTCCAAGTTCATCTTTGATTGCTCAAATTTAGGAGGATCCTCGCAGGAGTTCCTCAGTCTCTTACCAACCTCCACCACAACTTCTTTAATCCACCTCCTCACTTCATCGTCCTAACTTCTAGCCCTCACCGCTCTGAAGAAATCTATAAAAAGATTTTTAAGGTCTATAATGATCAAAATTCTTTAAATATCTAAATCTTCTCTACTTATCGATGGACTGCCATGGCAAAGTGTCAAAAAGCTTGAAGATATCCTCCTTAGGAACATTATCAGTTTTGAATATGCAATCACAACTACCGATTTTATCCTCTGCAATCACCACCAAGTAGAATTTCTCCATTGGATAGTCTCAAATGAGAAGGGCGTATAGATTGGAGAAATCGTTGTCGGTGGTGATGATCGAAACCCTATAAGATTCAACAAAGTGACTGTTGCACGGTGAATGAATGGGATGTGGAGACAGACAATCCTGACGCTTTCATGGTGGTGCCAAAGCATCCGATTGTTGTCGATGCTGTTAGACTTCGTTCACTTTGACGACATAGTGCTTTAAATGTAAATTGGAGAGTTTGGGTGTGAGATATGTAATAT